TCACTTTTTTTTTTTTTTTTTTTGAGACAGAGTCTTACTCTGTTGCCCAGGCTGGAGTGTAATGGCGCAATCTCAGCTCACTGCAACCTCCACCTCCCAGGTTCAAGTGATTCTCTTGCCTCAGCCTCCCAAGTAGCTGAGATTATAGGCGTGCACTATCACACCCACCAATTTTTTTTTTTTTTTTTGCATTTTTAGTAGAGGCAGGGTTTCACCTTGTTGGTCAGGCTGGTCTTTAACTCCTGACCTCAAATGATCTGCCCAGCTAGGCCTCCCAAAGTGCTGAGATTACAGGCATGAGCCACCACACCCAGTTTTTCTTGTTTGTTTTTTGAAATGACTCTGCTTATTTTCCAGGTTCTTGGAGTAGATGTTAGCTCATTTGCTTGAAATCATTTTTAGTAGAGGCATTTAATACCATACATTTCCTTCAAATGACTAAGTTACTTGCATTATACAAATTGTTCCATGCAGCATTTTCTTTGTTCTTCTTTTCTAAATGGTTTATAATTTTAAGTCATGAGTTATTTATGAATCTGTCATCAAGTTTCAAACTTAGCAAAATTGATTCCTAACTTAACTAAATTTTGGTCAGAGAATGTAGTCTGTACTGTGGTGAATTTTGAAATAGCTCACCCGGCTGGGCATGGTGTTCACACCTGTAATCCCACCGCTTTGGGAGGTCGAAGTGGGAGGATCACCAGGTCAAGAGAGCGAGACCATTCTGGCCAACCTTGTGAAACCCCATCTCTACTACAAATACAAAAATTAGCTTGGCGTGGTGAGGCAGGAGAATCACTTGAGCCTGGGAGGCAAAGGTTGCAATAAGCCGAGATCGTGCCACTGCACTCCAGCCTGGCTATAGAGCGAGACTCCATCTCAAAAAAACAAAAAAGATAGCTGGCCGGGTATGTAGTCAAATTATACAAATGTTTAATGTGTGTTTGAAAAGAACATCTATTTGTTGGGTGGAGGGTTTTTACATATGTATTTAGATAGATATTAGAGAAATCTTTCATTTCCTGGAGATGATCCATTTCCACTAGAATAGAAATCCAGATTGAAAAATAATCTTAAACTGACTTTAAAATAAATACATTAATAAGATAAAGAAATGAAATATCTAAAAAGAATTAAAGGTTAAAAAACAAACACAAAATACATGAATAAAGAAGAGATAACTATGAAAAGTAATTACACAGGAAAATGGAGGCCAGGCATGGTGGTTCATGCCTGTAATCCCAACACTTTGGGAGGCAGAGGCAGGACTTCTTGAGCCCAAGTGTTCGAGACCAGCCTGGGCAACAAAAGGAGACCCCGTCTCTATAAAAACTTAAAAAAAAATTAGCCAGGCATGGTGGCATGCATCTGTAGTCCCAGCTCCTCAGGGGGCTGAGGTAGGGGGACTGCTTGAGCCTGGGAGTTTGAGATAAACTCTAAACTGGTCAGAGAAATAATTATTCAATTGTAAGAGTAAAGAATTTACCCAGAATTCAGCATTATAAAAAAGAAAAGACATATTGTGGCAGTTTCAAATCATGGCCACAAATTCTTTGATACTCCTCCCATTAAGAGGTGGGTCTAGCTCTCTTATTCCTAAACTGGGTGAGCTTGTGACTAAGTAAAGGTGGAAATGACACTATATGACTTGTGAGGCTAGACAATGAAAGTTCATGCATTCCACCTTGTTTACCAGAACACTCACTATTGGAGCCCTGGTTACCACATAAGAAGTCTGACTACCCTGAGGCCACTCTGATGTTAGGAAACCCAAACCACATGGAGAAGTCACGTATAGGTATTCCAATCTACAGTCCCAGCAGAGTGCAGCCTCTGTCACTCTAGCCTAGAAACAGGTAAGTAAAACATCCTCCAGTCATTTAAGAGCCTTCTCATCTGACGCCCTGGATATCTTGAAGTAGAGTCAAGCTATCCCTGATGTGCCTGTTCAAATACCTATGGTACAGAATCTGTGAGCATAATAAAATATTAATAGTTATTGCTTCTTGCCACTATATTTTGGAATGATGTGTTTGTTACATAGCAATATACTGACAGAACACTTGAAGGATGCATCTAATAGTAATTTCAGACAGAGAGAATAAAAGGAATGTGGAAATAATATTTGTAGAGATGATACAGAGAATTTTTAAAATATGAAGTCACATATTAGGTGCAAAATAATAAAAACAAATTCACACCTCAATGTACTGTAGTGAAGGTACCTAACAATAAGGATAAAGAGCAAACTTTAAAAGCTACCCCAAAGAGAAAACACAGATTACCCATAAAAGAATGACAATTAGGCCGGGTATGGTGGCTCATGCCTATAATCCTAGCACTTCAGGAGGCCAAGGTGGGCAGATCACGAGGTCAGGAGTTTGAGACCAGCCTGGCCAACATGGTGAAACCCCATCTCTACTAAAATTACAAAAATTAGTTGGGCATGGTGGCAGGCGCCTGTAATCCCTACTCGGGAGGCTACTCGGGAGGCTGACGCAGGAGAATTACTTGAACCCAGGAGGTGGAGGTTGCAGTGAGCCGAAATCACTCCACTGCACTCTAGCCTGAGCGAGACAGCAAGACTCCATCTCAAAAAAAAAAAAAAAAAAATGGCAATTAGACACCAAACTTCTCATTAGCAGCAGGAGAAACCAGAAGCCGATGCAGTAATATTACCAAAGGACTGAGATAAAAATGTCACTTCTACATCCAGCTAAGTGACAATTCAAGAATAATGAAATAGAAAACTTTTCTTTAAAACTGACTTTAACCAACACACATTTTTATTGGAAGAACTACTAAAAGATGCATTGCAGCAAGAAGAAAAGTGAATTCGGAATGAAATTTTTGTATTAAAAAAACAAATGGTAAAAACAAACGTTTATAAATTAACTTAAATTACACATTGATTTATAGTAACAGGTTTATGTTCTGATAAATATGGAGCTAAAATTCTAGATAACAATAACTCCCAATACATTAGGTAGATAAAGCAGTTTTGGGGCTGGAAGATAACTGGCTTTAAAAAACTTTATAAATTGTTAGGAATATAAATGGTTAAGCATGCATATCAAAAGTTTAAGAATAGCTTCTAAAAGCATAGATAAAATATAACCTACAAAGTTCAAACAGGCAGAGGTAAAAGCAAGGGAATTTTAAAAAGTTATCAATCCAACAAAGGCAGGAGAAGTGCTGGGCACAGGGGCTCACACCTGTAATCCCAAGACTATGCGAGGCTGAGGTGGGTGGATCACCTGAGGTCAGGAGTTTGAGACCAGCCTGACCAACATGGATAAACTTCATCTCTATTAAAGATATAAAATTAGCCGGGCGTGGTGGCATATGCCTATAATCCCAGCTACTTGGGAGGCTGAGGCAGGAGAATTGCTTGAACCTGTGGGGGGTGGAGATTGCAGTGAGCCGAGATGGTGCCACTGCATGCCAGCCTGGGCAACAAGAGTAAAACTCCATCTCAAAAAAAAAAAAAAAAAAAAAAAAAAGAAGGCAGGAGAGGCAAACAAACAAACAAAAATAAGGAGAAATCACTGTAAACAGAAAATCAAAAGTATATTGGAATCCTAGCACTTTGGGGATCTCAAGGCAGGCTGATCACGTGAAGTCAGGAGTTCAAGACCAGCCTGGCTAACATGGCAAAACCCCATCTCTACTAAAAATACAAAACGTAGATGGGTGGAGTGACACGTGCCTGTAGTTCCAGCTACTCAGGAGGCTGAGGCAGGAGAATCGCTTGAACCCAGGAGGCATAGGTTGCAGTAAGCCAAGATAGCGCCATTGTACTCTAGCCTGAGCAACAGAGCAAGACTTCCTCTCAAAAAAAAAAAAAGAAAAAAAAATTGGTAGACCTCAAAAATAGACATTGGTAGAGATAAATTCAAATAGATCGTACTCCTATAAATTGAATTTCAGTTAAAAATAAAGACTGTCAGAATTAA